CAGGTGACATTGTGGTTGTGGAAGACTCCGCTGATGGATACTGGCTCCGAGGACGCACTAACTGGGGCCTGTGTGGCATGTTCCCGGCCTCCTGCGCCCGGGAGCTGCGTCTCTCATCCCGGGCCCGCCAGCTCTCCCGCCAGTTTGGGGGAAAGTTGCCAGATTATGGCCTGGGCCTCGCCCGAGCCCTGATGAGCCTCTCGGCCCAGCTGCCCGAGGAGCTGGACTTCACCGAGGGCGACCTCATCACCATCGTGGGCCTGCCCGAGCCTGGCTGGTATGAGGGCGAGCTGGATGGCAGGCGTGGGATCTTCCCCGAGGGCTTCGTGGAGCTGGTTGGTCCCCTGCAGACCCCCAAGGGGGCATCTGGCTCTGGGCTAGGTGGCTGTGAGGAGGAGGAGGAGGAGGAGGAGGAGGAGGAGCAGGACATTGAGGAGGAAGGGAATGGCATTGAAGAGGAAGGGGTGGCGGAGGAAGGGGAGGAGGGCATTGAGGGGGAAGGAAATGTGGAGGGATCGGCAGCACCAGGAGTTTACGTAGTGGCCATGTATGATTTCCAGGCCCTGGAGCCCGAGGAGCTAGACTTTGTCAGGGGTGAGCGCATCAGGGTGACTGAGACTCTGGAGGATGGTTGGCTGCAGGGGTCGGTAGGGGGTCGGACTGGGATCTTCCCATTCCGGTTTGTAAAACTGGAGGGGGATGGGCAGCTGGGAGACTTGGAGCAGTCCGGTGCCAGGCCGACAGCCCAGGGGCCAGACTCCTCTGGGAGGGGAGCCTTCACTGAGCCAACATTGACCCCTGATCCTGCGGGGACACCTGGTAACCATGGCCAGGTGACCCAAGCTGGACTAACACCGAGCCAGCCTGCCTCGTTCCAGAGTCGGGGGTCGGCAGAGATTCCCCAGATCCCAGCTGTGCCAGCAGCTCCAGATCCGGAGCGGCTGAGGGGGGAGGGTGACCCGGGTGAGCAGAGGTCAGAGGTGAGGAATTGGAGCCCCACCCCTGTGACCCCTCAGGGCAGCGGCTGGTTGGGGTTGGGGCTGGCTCCCGGGGGTGACCTGGACACCAAGTGCTCCGAGCAAATTGAGGAGTTCGACCGCAGCATGCCAGGCCCGAGGTCAGAGGTCAGCCCAGCGTTCCGCCGCCATTTCTCCATCTCGGACTACAGCACCGAGCAGGATGTCGCCAGTGGCTCCCCTCGGAGCTTTGCCAGGCCCCCTCCTCCCCGCCCTCGGGTCTCTGCCCCCTCTCCTTCACCCCCCTCTCCGGCTCGGCCTCTCCGTCCCTCCAGGCCTGCGCCCCTACCCCCTCCCCATGCCTACTCCCGCAAGGGGTACCCCTGCCTGCGGAGGAGCCCCCAGTCCAGACCAGCTGGGGGGGATCACGTGCTGCGGGAAGCGGGCAGGGAGTCGGAAGGTGCACCCCTTCCCCGGGGCCCGAGCCCCGGCCCCCTGCAGTCCAGGATCCGGGAGCTGGAGTGGGACTTGGAGATGCACTACCAGACCCGGGAGGCTCTGAGGGTCATGGCCGAGAGACCAGCCGAGGAGAGTCTTCGTTCTGAGGCACTGGAGAACCTGGAAATCTGCTCCTATAGCATCAAGACGTTGGAAGGAGAGCTTCAGACTTTGAAAGGTAAGACCAGCCTCTCTGAAACTTCAATGTGCAACGTCAACCCAGGCCATTCAGCCCATCATATTAAGAGCTGTCTAGTGAGACTCAAACCCCTGCATCCTTTTCCCCTTTCCTGCCTCCCCAAAGCCCTGTCAATGGTTTCCCTTCAAGTATTTATCAGCCCCCTTTTGAAAGTTCCTGTTGAATCTGCTCCATTGCCCATTCAGGCAGCGTATTCCAGAACACCACTGCATTTTTATAAGAACACCTCTCTCTATTTGGTTGTTTTACCAACCAGCTTGTATCGATCACCCCCTGGTCACTGAACCTTCTATCACTGGAAGTAGGTTCTCTTTAGAATGAAACTCTTCCCCTGGTTTTGAGCCTCTCCATTAACTCGCCCTCTTTCGCCTTACCTGCTGTGTGGAGGTGAACCCCAGCTGCATCAGTCCCTCCACATTCACTGAAATGCACCCTCAATATCCTGTAATTCCCTCTTCCCTCCTGTTTCTCCAGCTTTAAATGTAATCTCAGCCACTTCCTGTGGTTCCTCATTCTCACCAGCGGGTTCTCCAGCCTCTCTGTGTGTGTCTGTGTGTCATTGACTCTTGCTGGTTCTGTCTGTCTGTCTCTCTTTCTCTGTCTTGTACACTCGGGTCGTTTGGGTCATGTATTAGGGAAAAGCTGATTAATGTATCATTCCGTGCTGAGGCTGGTTATTATGTGGTAAGTATGTGCTGGTATTTCCAGGGTTGCTGCTTTTGGGGGGGAGGGAGGGCCACACCGTTCTGTCTCGGCCTTTGAGACTGGACCCTGATCGACCTGTTGATTTGCTGGAAACCAGGGAAGTGTTTGCTCCTGGAGGAGGTGCCTGCTCACAGGGAGTGCCCTGGCTCCCTTTCTTGAAGCACCTGTTTGCTTTCTTGTCCCCACACCCTCCCTCAGTGTGTAGTTTTGCGAGGAAGCTCGAAGGTGTCAGGTCGTGCTCCGTGCTGAGTTTTGTTTTGTTCACTCGGGGCTTGGTTCTGGGGACTGGAGCTTGTTTAGAAACAGGCCACCCAGGCTGGGGAGGGCTGAAGAGACAGCACTGCCAGTCTTCCTGGACTATGAAAGGGAATGTGCTTCTGGGCCAGTCTGCCCCATACCCAGCTCACAGAATGGAGGATTGGGAATGTCGGGATTATCGGAGATCTCCGCTTGTAGAGACTGGCTCCCTGACCAGGAACAGTTTGTACCGAAGGACAGCTCCGAGCAGTTTCCGACACTCTGACACGGTGCTGCAGAGGAGGCAGTTTCAAGGTGAGGGTTTGAACAACTTTCCTCTCTCTCTCTGTCTGTGTGTGTCTCCCCCTCTCTCTCTCTATCTGTCTGTGTGTATCTGTTTCTTGTTTGTTTGTTTCGTGCCACACACCTACTCTGGTTACTTGGAGCTTCTTAATCCTCTGTGGTGCCAATTTGAAGAGTTTGTATTTAAATTGTAACTGGCTCTGCCGGCTTTCCTTCCTCCCTCTCTCTCCCCCACCCCCTGCCAAAATAAATAAACTTTGCTCCAAACCGCTGTTCTCGGCAAGTCCCTGTGTTATTGGCTCCTGGTGCAGCAACACCTTGATTTTAAAACTCCCTTCATTTCCAAATCCTTCCATGCTCCTGCCCCTCCCTATCTCAGTAATCGCCTCCAGGCCCCAGTACTTTCAGAGATTTCTGCACTCCTCTAATTGCACATCCCCATTTTAATTAAACCCACCCCCCCCACCCCGGGGTGTTCTCAGCTGCCTGACACCCACTCCCCCCAACCCGAGCTGTGGAATTTCCTCCCTCACCAGGTTTCTGATGACCTTGTGTGGGTAGCTCTTGTGTAGCTTGGTGTTGGATTTTTGCATTAAATTGGGATGAAACTTTTCCGGAGTGCTTGCTATGTAAGCGCAAGTTATTTTGCTGTATTTTCTCTTTCTTGTACGTCTTGGATGGATTTGGACCCTGTTCTCTGGTTCTGTTCCTCCTCGGATTTGCACAGTCAGTAGGAGCCAGCAATTCATCCTCAGCTCGGGTCTAATTCTGTATGTTTCGCTGCCTTCACCACCCCCCCGCCCGCCCCCCCCCAACCACCACCACTCCACCTGCACTTGCTCCAGTGTCTCCTCATCTCTCCCCAGTCCCAGTCTTCTCCCTTTTGTGCCATGTTCCTTGGTGCCAGCTCCCAGTTCTGTTATTCCTGAACACAGTGGCTCAGTCCAGTTTTGATCTCTAACCCGTTGCTGGGGTATAACAATGGGGAATGGGTAGTGCAACCACAACGCTGGGTCCAAGCCAAACCCTCCCCACCCACCCTCATGGTGGTGGGTGGGGAAACTCTTTTTGAGGATGCTCCTCATTCTCCCTCAACATCAGCAAATGATAGTAAACACTAACAGATCTGGGTGGGTGAGCAAAGGATGGGGAGGCTGTGGGGGAGGGGGAGATGAGCCTGTGGTGGGGGTTTGTTGAGTGAGGGGTCAGGTGTTGGAGGCAGGGAAAGAGAGTGAGGGTAACAAATGGCTAACTGGTCGGAATGGACAAGTTGGACTGAAGGGTCTGTTTCAAACCTGTACATCTCTATGACTCAATATTGATGGAGAAAGGGGTATGGAGCTGGGGGATATTGATTTGGGAGGGGGGGCAACGAGGGAGAGTAAGAGGAGGAACATGACGAAGAGCACCTCTGGAGAACACACCAAGATAGAAAGTGACTTTTGCAGAGAAGGAGAGAAACAGTGAGTGCGAGAGACAGAGTGAGAATATGGCTAAATGTTTAAGGTACAGAGGAGGACACAAGAGTAAACCTTTATGGTCCCAAATCTAGGCCACTGCTCTTGTATTTGTGACGTGTGTTCTGTTGAATCTGAACCTGATTCATTAGAACTCAGGGTGGAGGAGAATGTATCAACTTCCTGGTACCTCCGCCTCCAAGTTTCAGTTGTGCTGAAACTAACTGTGGAATCCACAATCCTGAACAACAAATCAGCAGGAGAATGTCACAGAATTGCAGACTAATGCAGGATAAGAGGGGATCATCAAATGTCTGCCAGGGGGGGGGTCTCTTTTTAGGGGGTGGGGATACATTCCAGTTTGCCTGATTCCTACTCTCACTCTCATTCTCTCTCTCTCTCTCTCATTCTCTCATTTTCTCTCTCTCTCTCTCTCTCTCACACTGTCTCTGTCTCTGTCTCTCTCTCTCTCTCACACACTCTGTCTCTGTCTCTGTCTCTGTCTCTGTCTCTGTCTCTCTCTCTCTCTCACACACTCTGTCTCTGTCTCTGTCTCTGTCTCTCTCTCTCTCTCTCTCTCTCTCTCTCTCTCTCTCTCTCTCTCATACTCACTCTCACACACCCCATATTTCTGCAATGTCTCTGTGTTTACCCAATTCCCTTTGGAAAGCTGTAACCTCTCAGCGAACCATCAGTCAGTTGTGTGCCTTCCTATCCCTCAACATTTCTGGCTGTTTATTCTCCAGGGTGGTTTGCTGGAGTGTGTCTCAACGCTGTAAATCTCTATACAAACGCTGGGAAAATGGGACGTCACAATATCACTATAATGAGAGAGAACTTACCCTTCCATAGCGCATTTTGTAAACACAGGGAATTACAGAGCCACTGAAATCTGCCGTCACTGCTTTTCAGGCACGTGTGCATAATAACTGGGCTCCTCCAACTCCATGCTTTTCAACAGCCCTCACTTCTGTTGTACTGCATGCTTGTAGAGATGACTGACACATTTCTGATCTCTCTCGTTTCCTTCACTCTCCAGCCATTTGAGATCTCTGCATGGCTCCAAGTCTGGCCTCTTGAGAATCCCAGATTTTCTTTGTTCTATTGCTGACAGCCTGCGTCCTGACCCCTGGAATTCCCTCCTGAAACCTCCCAATTCCCTCCCTGCAGAAAACCAGTAATTTTCAAAAGAGAAATTGTGCATCAAGTGGGCAGACTTGCAGGAATGGGCCAAATCCACTGGATAACTCTTTGAAAGAGCTAGTACAGGCTGTGATGGGCTGAGTGGTCCTCTGTGTGGGGGGGAAAAATACGAAAGCAGTGTGGTTGCTAGAAATTGCTGGAAAGGCTCAGCAGGTCTGGCAACATCCGTGGAGAGAAATCAATTAATGTTTCAGGTTCAGTGACCCAAGTGAACCTGAAACGTTAACTCTGATTTCTCTCAACAAATGCTGCCAGACCTGCTGAGCCTTTCCAGCAATTTTGGTCTTTTGTCTGATTCTGACTGGATGTTACTGACCCAAGGATACAGCTGGTACATCCAGCAGAGCTTGGAGTGAAAGGAAAAGGTACCTTGTGCTGTTCAGTGATGTGTCACTCCTCGGGCCTGGTACACTGTGTTCCTGCCTCCTTTTCAATCTGCTTTTGAAATCTGAGCTTGAAGCTGTTTAAAACTCATTCCTTCACTTAGTATTCATCAAGTGTAATTAATCTTCGAATCCCAACCCCCCCACCCCCTCTACTCACCAGAAAGCAGGAAATGAAGGTCTTTTTGTTTCTTTTCTCCTACGAGTGTGAATTGACCATGATGTAGGTTAACCTTGGAGACCCTTGTCATCAACTCTTAATCTCCCCTCACTCCCTCCACAACCAGTGGTTGTGCCTTCAGCTGCCTGAACCCTCACCTCTGGATGGTAGAGGTGATTGTGTAGTGGTAATATCACCAGACTAATCTGGCTCAGCACTCCACTGTGGTGGAATTTAAATACCATCAATAACATCTTTTGTTGTTCATGGATTGTGGGTGTTACCAGCTCAGCCAACATTTATTGCCTGTTCCTAGTAGTCCTTGAGAAAGCACTGCTGAGCTGTTTTGTTGACCAGCTGGAATCTGTGTGCTGTGGGTAGACCCAATAATGCCATTAGGGAGGGACCTCCAGGATTTTGTCCCAGTGACATGGAAGGAACAGTGATTTATATTTCCAAGTCAGGATGGTGAGTGGCTTGGAGGGGAATTTGCATGTGGTGGTGTTCCCATGTATCTGCTGCCCTTTTGTC